GCCCAGGTATAGAAAATGAGGAAGTGCAGTGTGATACTGATTTATCTTTTATGAATGGTGCCATATTAAATGCAATTTCTCTTTTATTGCAGGTCATTTCTTTTTTTTTTTTTTTATGAAGTCGGTTTAAGTCATAAAGTAATAGCAAAACTTAAAGTATACGTTGAACTGTACTGTTCCTCCTGCTTGCCCTTGGGACATGGCTTGATTAGCACGGTCGATGTTCTGTCATTGATGGTCATGGCGGCTCCTGGAAAAGCCACACGTGACCAGAACACCCACCATTGCAGTCTCCTTTCACTGTCCTAACCTATATTTCAATAGCTTCCCCATGATGCTTGTAGAGACTGGACAGGGAGAAAGAATGATTTTGGATTAGCACCAGATCTAGCTTTGTGTTTTTATAAAATATATGTTTGGACAAGTTTCCCTGGAACACTGTCTGTGGCACATTGGGAACGTGACGATTGGTAGAGATGGAGGAGGCATTGTTTTGTGGAAACAGTGACTAAACGTTTTCCACTTGGCACATCCACTGTAGCTCCGCTCTCTAAGAAAGCATGCAGCTTCGCAGGCATGCTTGCAGGAAGAGAGTCTGCCGCTCAAGACCGGCTAACTAACTTGCTAGTCACAGGAAATCTCAAGCTTTGGGTTTGGTAGAAGTACTTAGGAAAAAGAGTTTAGAAGGCTGCCTAACTTTGTTTTCAGACTTAGAGCGGAGAGTGTGGTAACCCGTAGCTGTTTCTTCCAGAAATTGCCTGATTCACCTTGCCATCACCTACAGAAGCTGTTTTTGTTGTTGTTGACTTAGACTTTTAAAGCTTAGACTCGCCCTATTAAGCGAGGTGGTATAATCAGGTTTCCCAGGACCCTGAAATCAATGACATGCTCCTGTAGCGAGATCGGTTTTATCTTATATCCAGTACCCTCTTACTTGATTTCCTTAAGTTGATGCTAAGAGCGGAGTAAACCACACAAGCCTGAGAGTTGTAGAGTAGCCTTTCAGATCCTCCTTGTTCTCAGCTCCTTGTTACTGTAGCCGCGACAAGCTGTTGTGATGCTGATTCAGATTAGATGGATATTTGGTTGGCACTACACAAATGGTAGGCATCTACCAGGTAATTTCAGCAAACCTGTGTTTAAATAGCACAGTATCTGGGTTTAATCCTCATAAAACCTTTGGGAAGTAGATGACATCTCCCCAGGTCAAGCTCTGCTTTCTGTAGGTTCTAGAGCTAGCAGTGATCTCGGCACCATTCGCTTAGCTCTGACCTGTGCTAACAGTTTTGCCCATATTCCACTGTTGAATCTGCTTTGCAACCTTATGGTGTGGTTGGATTTCAATGCAGCAACACAAGTGACTTGGAAAAGTGAAGTAACTTCCTTAAGACCACGGTTAAGGGAAGGAGTGTCAGAGCCCTGTGTTTTGCATGTGGCACAGTCGGAACTGAAATAGTCGGAAATAGCCAGAACTATCACGCCCCTCTCTGATGTGGAGCCGGACCTGCCTACACGAACCAACTGTTGCTCACATTTGACCACATGGCCTCAAGTGAGCTTGTACCTCTTCCCACTGCTATAATTTCTGCTCCTGTGTAAAGATTGCCATGTTGAGCCTTGGCATCAGGTCCCTGGAGAACTGAAGAGGCTTAGCTCCTGCAGCTGAAGCCATTCTATCCCCTGGTCCTTTCCCCAGACCTCTCCACAAGCACTTCAGGAGGAAGGGGCCACCTTAAGATTGAAAAGTGACACACTTTCAAAATGTCTGTTTCTGACAACAGGCCTTCCTCCGTTCTGGACGTGGATCTAAATGGTGCTCAACTTTGACACACACACACACACACACACACACACACACACACACACACACACAAAGTGAAAAATCCAAATAAGGGAAAAACCATAAACCTGTGGGGGCTGCACGGGAGAAGCTGTCCTGGTGGTGGCTGGCTGCCTCTCAGTTACCCACGTTCTTAAAGCAGAGAGGTGGCCCTTTCCCCTGAGCCTTGATGCTCAGCTGAGAGTGAAGACGGAGTGCAGCGTGTCTGGGCTTTTCCTTTTGACCTTTCCAGAATCCTAATTAAGGATATTGCAGATGCCTTATAAATGGATCAGTCTGCAATTGGATGCCAAAGTGTTTATACTCTGTCTGGACCTAAATGGTGCCCAGCGGCCCTTGTAGATCAAGAGCCCAGCTGTAATCGATCATTTTCTCATCAGTGAGCCTAAAGAAATTTACTTTTAATCTCATTTATGGACTCTACCAGATCCTGCCAATATGTATTTATAGAAGTGCTTATATATACACATATATGATTATTAAAATAAGCAGAGAAAGTATTGTATACTTCTTCCCGTTCTTTAGATACTGCTCTTCTGGGATTTTTTTAGGGCCAGTGTACTTTACTCGTTTATCTCAGGTGAACACTGAAAATGTAAAGAAATATAACATATAACGGAGTAGAATTTTTGCATTCCCAATACGTGGGAGCAGTTCCTGAAAGTTCAGTCTTATTTTAATTTCTGTATTGTCTATAATTATGTCACAGAGTTAGAGTCTTGAATGCCCCCCCCCCCACTCTCTAACCATTGTTGGAATGCAGAGAAGTGTGTTGCAAGGAAACTTTCAGCATCCTGCCGTAGGAGGCTGGTGAAGTTGCACTGAAAAGCTAGCTGAGGAAGAGCAGCCTGCCACACTCGGAACAGTGCCTGTGAGCTCACGAGTACTGACTCATTAGTGAGCACTGTCCCACCTTGAATTCTTGGCCCATACACATCATCATCATCTTGATTTTGATGATGGGGAATGCTGGTAGAAAAGAGAGTGAGGAATTTAATAAAGTCTGACCTCAGGTGATGCTACTGACTGCGCACTTAGAGAAGGCATCTGTCATGGCTTGTTTTAGTCTTGCCCAATATTTAAGTCACGTGAGAAAGGCTATCCAGGGTGTTCTCTACGATGAATTATGTATTTATTTACTAAAGAGTGTTAGGGTTGAAACCCAGGGTGCCATGTTTGCTAAACAGATGTTCTAGCAAATGTGATAAACCTTTAGACCTATACCATGTTTTTAAATGAACAAATTGAGTATTGTAAAATGTCTTAGTCAGGGTTTCCTTTGCTGTAAAGAGACACCATGACTAAGGCCACCCTTATAAAGAAAAACACTTTATTGGGGCTGGCTTACACTTTCAGAGGTTTAGTCCATCATCATGGCGGGAAGCACGGCAGCATGCGGGCAGACATGATGCTGGAGATGCTGAGAGTTCTACATCTTGATCCACAGGCAGCAGAAGGGGACTGTGTCCCTGAAGTAGCTTGAGTTTGTATGAAGCCTCAAAGCCTGCCTCCACAGTGACACTCTTCCCCCAACAAGGCCATACCTCCTAATAGTGCCACTCCCTCTGAGTCAAGCATTCAAACACAAGACCAAGCTTATTCAAACCTCCACATAAAATAATGCACTTTGTCATTGTTCAAGAACAAAATACTGCTAAAATCCTAGCTTTATTTATAGTACTTCACTAACTTTTTTTTTTTTAATGATTCTTGTCTTCTTGCGTGGGCCAGGCATTCTTTAGCTTACTTGACTCTCTTGGATTTGTAATGAAACAGAGTAAGAAAGCATATTGTGTGTGTATGTTAGGGAGGCTGTGTTGGGTAGTACCTTCTGGCTAATACTTTCATAATTCCTAACCTTCAGAGACCGAGTAGATTTTAATGTTGACTCAAACTAGGGCTCTGACCAAGCATTTCTTTGCCTTTAGGTTCTTTTTCTTGTCTATTTCCTTTATCTGTATTTACTTTCATTCATTTCCAGTGAGGAAACAATGCTCGCCCAGCTTTGTTAACCTGAGTTAACACATTGAGTGCCTGAGAGTTCAGATTAGGACTATGTAAACTCTAGGGAAGAGTAGTGAGGATGCTATTCTTGTCCTCATGGATCTCCTAGTTCATATTTTAACCAACACTGCTACCACACACTTCTCCTTAAAATTTTATATAGGCAAGATCCAAAGAAATACAGAGAGTGAAGATGACAGTTTGGAATTTGACTGGCTAGGGAGAACCAAAGAGCAATTTATATTGAATAAATGATAAGATTCTCAGATAAAAGCTTAATAGATGCTGTTTCCTATCACCATTAGTTAAGTATAGTCTCTGTATAACAATTTAAAATGAAAATTTCCTGTCAGTGGAGAAAAGGTTCTATCTGATAAAAATGAAATGTTTTAAATGATATATGATATTTTAATTTTTAGACCCCTAAAATAAAACAACTAGCAAAATGTTTCCAAAGTGAAGGTTAGTTTAATTCTTCTGCAAGGTACATCCTAAATCTACAAATGACACCTTATTATATGAAAGTGTTTTAAGTTTAATTATATCTTCATCCTCACTATATTTATATCGTCTTTTTAGTGCTTTTTCACACATTTTGCAAAGACAGACTTTATCATGTGCAGTTCAATGTTCTAAACACTACAAATTACTTAATACTAAGTAAAGCGCCACAGTGTGAGGTTTTCAATGTGTATGAATCCAGTAATCAGCTTAATAACTGGCAGGCATTCCTTTCACTAGACAAATGTGTATTGAATATGCACTAGAGACAGAATTATAGATAGTAAAGGCACTAATATAAGATCCTGAACTTTGAGTAACTGCCTCCAAGTTTTGAATATGCATCAGTTCTTCTCAATTAGGTTTCTTTACCTCTTCATTTTCCTCTATGATAAACCAGTAAAGCACTAGTGTGTTGTTGATTATGAAGAACAGAAATGAAATTTAATATCATCTCTTAAATATCTGCCTTACAAATCTGCCCAAATCATTGTTTTAAGTATAAGAAGAGCATGCTTACAATATATAGAATTTTGTGGTGCTCTTAACATTGTTTCAGGAACTTTTAATGCCCCTTCTCTGTTTTAAAGGCCATTATAAATTTAGTTTGTTTCTATTTTATTTTTCATATTAAAAAATTGTCCTTTTCTTACAGTTAATCTCTCAATATCTAATGATACCATGCTAGCCCCAGAGGACCTGCCAACTGTTTCTTCCACTGACATGGTAAGTTATGAGACTAATATTTCAAACTGCCTGCAGTTTTTACTGTATGCATGGTGCTCTGTGGTTTTCATTTAGCTTTGCTGATCCTCTTTGTCTGAAGAGAGAAAGAAAAGAATATCTGTCATCACGCTGGCTGGCTTTTCATCCCCTTTAAGAACTGTGAAATATCTGGGCACAGGGGTCTTTTCTGAGACTGATACTCCAACCAAGGACCATTTATGGATATAACCTAGAACTCCTGCTCAGATGTAACCCATGGCAGCTCAGTATCCAAGTGGGTACCCTAGTAAGGGGAACAGGGACTGTCTGACATGAACTCAGTGGCAGCTTTTTGACCATCCCCTCTGAGGGAGAAGCAGCCTTGCTAGGCCACAGAGGACAATGCAGCCAGTTCGGATTTGACCTGATAAGCTAGGGTCAGATGGAAGAGGAAGAGGGCCTCCCCTATAGTAGACTTGGAGATGAGCATGGGATGAGATGAGGGAGGGAGAGTGGGGTTGGGAGGGACTGAAGGTGGGGTCTACAGCTGGGATACAAGGTGAATAAACTGCAATTAATATAAAAATAAACATTTAATTAAAAAAGAAAGAAAATGTAAAGCCAATATTTATTCATATAACATTTTTTTTTCAAAATCATCTTAAGAACTTAACTGCCATTTATTTTCACCTTGACATTCGTCTCCAAGGGCAAGGAGAGTGTAGAAAAACAAGAACTAGTGTTGTCTGTTGCTTGCCTGCCTGGGGTCCTGTCTGGTTGACCAGATGGTGCTGTCCTCTCTTCACTAAGGGTGACGGTAGCAGATTATTTCCCCCATTACTTAGAAAAGACTAAGTCTCCATCGCATGCTGTCCTTTCCCATGGCTTGTAACCAGGCACCTTTAAAGCCCTGGAATTAAGTTTGTAAAAATGAGCTGTTTTGCACTGAAGGTCACAGACTAGAAGACAACTTTTATATTGGAGAAAATGAGGAAAGCACCATTTCAGACTTCTGATTGTTTCTTCTATGCCAAATATGGAAACCAACCAAAGAATATCAATCTCTTGATTACAAAGACAGAGAACATAATACCTTGTATTGAGAGAGTGCCCATCTCTCAGGAGACCAGAACACTTCTGCAGATATTGTGTGGCAAGTGCTCACAGCATCCTTTCAGAGATACTTTGTGTCCTTCCTGGCAGCTCTCACATGACCCCGTTTTTCTCTTGTCTTTGTGTTCTCTAGCTTTCTCTGACTTTTTTCAAAATGTGTGTCTTTACTTTTTTATATTTCATGCTGTGTGTGTATGTCTGTGTATGTGTGTGTCTTTATCTCATTTTCTTTCTGTATGTGTTGTATGTGTGTAAGAACATATTTTTTATGTTGAAAATCCCTATAGAAGAATTCAAATTTTCATCCTTTTGCCAGCCAACCCAGAAGGACTTGCCTAAAATAGAAGAGAGAATGCTTTCTTCTAGTTTTTAAGGTTTTTAATTAAAATTCTTTTTGTGCTTTGAAAAGAAACCAATAAAAACCTAAGTTTAGTTGAAAAAAATTTAAAGACATTCACTTTCACATTGCTTTCTACCTTCACAGGTACCACAGGGGCCAAGCCAACAGATAGCCAAGCCCTGAGCAGGGTAGTTACTTGCAGCATGTGTTGCTGTCACTGTCCCCAGTGTTACTGTCCCCGCTGGCCTGTGTTCCCTCAGTAACTGACAAATAGTGGAGAAGAACTGGAAACCATTCCTTCTGGGACGCACACATTTTCCGTTTCCTGGGCTGTAGTGGCTCTGCTTCCCTGGACTTTTCCTGGGACACAGAGTCGTCAGGACATAATTTCCTTCCCTTTCTTTCATCCTTAACTAAGTTGTAACTAAGTTATGAGAGAAGGTGAAACAAAGGTGGAATGCAACCCCTGGCCAGTAAGCCTTCCTCTCCTGAGGCCTCCTGCATCAGGTGGTCATTAACATGAAGACAAGGGGCCCTCCTCTGCAGTGGGCGTGTCTCAGGGGAGAGGGTTAGGGAGAGGGTGTTTCAGCCTCCAGGGAGATGGGAACTGCAGGGGCATTTCCCCTCCTGAGGATAAGGGCGGTGTTTCCATTTGTTGCTGGATCATTTCATCCTCACCTCTGCCACTTTTCATATTGATACCTCGATGCTTATCTCTCTCTACCCTGCAAACAAATTCTTCACATGGCCACTGAAAAGAAGCTTCGAGAGGAAGTGCAGCTGGCGGACACTGATTCTGAATGATTTAGGATCTGATGGCTTCCAGCTTCAAGCTACAAGAGACCAAAGTCAAAGAATTGCTTAGCATTTGCTCCTTAAATGAGAGTGTCTCTCTCATTTAAAGTTCCTTTGAGACATCCTTTTAATACACAGTCCTGACATGCTAATTTCAATGAGTTTTACAGTGGCATGCTCCATGCCACAATCAAGACATAGAACATTTCCTGTATATCGGAAACCCCATGGAATAGTCCGTTTGTTATCTTGTTTACATGCCAGTTTTCTGAGCCAAGAAAGATCATTCCTTGCTTCTCTGCTGCATCTTCGGCTTCAGGAAGTCACTGAATAAGGCGGGCACTCACTCACTACTTATGGCTATCTTTTACTATGAGGGACTAGTCTATCTAAGTTTCTTTGCATCCTTATCTCTGGTGGATTTTAAACTGAATTTTCAAATTACCTAGCTTGCTTTGCATGTTCCTCTGGGAGCAATGATCTCCATGTTTTAGAAATATAATCTTAGTCTCAAGCAGGATAACCACTAAATTTCAGTGTTTCATGAATGTACAAACAACTGCCGCTCCAATATATGTACACGATAAAGTAAAATTGGAGATTATGCAAATAAAGCTTGCCCATGGTAGGGAAAGCCCTCAAAGAGAAGATTTACCACTTCTCCTTGAAGTTTCTATTTATAGTATCACTGTCAATCATACCTAAAAGCACACGGATTTTACAGGCCTGCATATATGGAAGGAAGAGTGCAGACCAGTGGTTCTCAACCTTCCTAACGCTGTGACCCTTTAATATAATCCCTCATGTTGTGGTGACCCCCAACCATAAAATTATTTTTGTTACTTCATATATGTAATTTTGTTACCATTATGAATCATGATGTAAATAAATGTGGTTTCCATGGTCTTAGGCAACCCCAGTGAAAGGGTTGTTTGACCCCCAAGGGAGTCATGACCCCTGACATAGAAGCAATAGTAGTTCGATATGATATACCTTCCGGGTGAAGGGAGGAGTTAACATTCATTTTCATGGGAAGCATAATGCCGTATTAATCTTCTCATACATGGCGTCCTATGGTTTTTCTCTCAATGAGAAATATAGATGTAAAAAGCAAAACAAAAAAACAAAACAAATCCTGTCCTTAAGTATTTTTAAAGATTCGCCTGTTCCATCTTTAAAAAGCATGTTCTAGAAAGCTTCAGCTATGTGCTGAAATCAAAGAGAAAAATGGACTGCCATGTCCATGTCACTCAGGCTCAATGACTGCCCACACTTGCCTAGTCTATATCATGTTTCCTACCCTTTGGAGAGGAGATAGTATGATACTTTATTTTTTTAAGTAAACCCTTACATTTTTTAAGAATTATGGGTGGATCCACTTAGAATAAGCAGGGTAACTCTCTTGAAAATGATACTCAGAAAAAAATGATTTGACATCTCATTAAAGAAATTCTTCTTTATCAGAATCCTCAGTTGCTTGTGCTCCTTTCTTTAAACTTTTTTCTCACTAGCCTTTTGCATGTTGTGGCTTAGCCCATCTGATCACTTGTGGCGTGGCTCTCTGTGTCAAGGGAGCACCTCTGCCCACACTGTCTAGCCCTTCTGTGTATCTGCTGAGGCCGAAAGAAGTGCACTGCCACTCATTTTCCTCATCCTCTGGTTTTGTTCTTTGTCGTCTCTCAGCTTTGCTCTCCTGCCTTTTCTTAATACCTTTGGAGAAGGAAAGCACTGTTAGACCTTTCCTGCTCTCAGGGCTCAGCCTTCTCTGTACTCAGTGAAATAGATGGCTTTCCCTTCTGCTCTCCTAACCACACATTTACACACGCTTTTACTGCCTTATATTATTAAGGAATTTTGAAGCACACAGTTTATTTCTCTAAGGAAACTTGTAAACATTGTTGCTGTTTCTTTAATATCTCTCTCTCTCTCTTTACTTCTTTAAAGCTTATATTAGTTCATAGATATGTTTGGATTCAGTGCATTCTCTGTTTGCCTGTGGGAGCTTGTTTTAATTTTCCACTGGCTGTTGTTACTCCAATATCCTATAACTAAATGAAGTAGCATTGCCAGACTTCACAAATAAAATATGGAATATTCCATTACATCTGAATGTCAGGTGAATATTAAATAACTTTTAGTATATCTTCTGAATGTTGCACAGGACATGCTTATACTAAAAATAGTCATTGTTAAGGCTGAGTGTTAGCTGAGCATTTTGTATCTTACCTGAGCTTTCTGAATTGAAAGTTTACTTTTTAACTTAACCTTCCTAACAGAGTGTTGACAAAATGACCCATTTCTTCTTTGAATATGTCAATTATTCCAGACCTGATGAAGGGTTTTATTCACTCAGTTAACAAGACTGCTCTGGTACCTGCCATACCCTAAAGTGAACTCTGCTTTGTATTTGTTTGTTCTGTATTATTGTGTGAATGGTCCTATTGGTCCTTTGGCTGTACAGCTGACCTTTTGTAGCTCTTACCCAGCCTCAGTTCAAAGTCAGTGTCTGTGTCTGTCACTGTCCTCTTTCTTTATTCTTGCTGCTCTCACCACCCATTTTTCCTTTTCATCTCCACAAGTTCTGTTGGTTTTTATTGTCTTATTCCTCATGCACAACTCTTGTGTTTACCATCCCTGAGAAGCTGATATTAACCTTGCGATAACCTACTGTCCTAGAATATCTTTTGCTCCTGTATTTCTTTTAAAAAGTCTGCAATTGCTGTTGAAGCTTTTCACTCCCGCTTGCTTCTCAGACCATTGTGTTTCTTTTCCTGAGTCACCCATAGCCTTTCTTGGTGTCTGACCTTCCCCGTGGGCATACTGGACGCTCTGCACATTTCTACTCAGCATGTTGTGTTGAGCCGTTTGTCCCAGATCAGCAATTTGTGGTCAGTGTCTCCAACCCTGACATCTCCCCTAGATCCTGAGCCATTAGACGGTTTCCTGAGGATTTTCAAACTCCTATCACTAAACAAGAGGGTGGGTTGCAAGTATGCAGTTATAGGCATCTTTTCATAAAGAGGTCATATGAGAATTCTAAGATCTCTGAGATTATATTCCTGTTTGGTTTGCCTGGCTCCTAAAGACCAGAGAGTATTTCGCATAAGAAATAAGGATCAAAATCATAGACCTACAAAGAGATATAAGACAGTGGCAATGAGGTGCTGAGTCTCCTGCATTAACTAATCCACAGGAGACAATGGTGACTTGAACTTAGCCTTGGCTCTGGATGTATTTCTTTATGATCCAGATCCTGTCTGAAGTCTTAACGAATTAACCTTCACTTAATATCATCTTATATGAATTAGTGGAAATAATGCAAACCATTCAGATGTGTTTTCTGAGGTCTTTAATTAGAACTGATTGCAGCTATGGTGTAGGTTTTAGGAAAGCCATAAGCATTTTATTTCTAAAAATTACCTGTGTTAAGATACATGCTGGTCATGTAAAGCCTTTATATGTGAGACCTTCGTTGTAGATGGGTATTGGAGACAAATCTTTTCCAGACAACAATAACAGATTCATTCAATACTTTAAAAATATTGGCGTTGCCAGTTTGAACTACCTGAGAAACTCGTCAAGCTGAGCTGCCTCCCTTTGCATCTGTACCTGGGCCATTTTTACCCGAATCTTGAAATGGATAAAAATTCCTGCTGGGGTTGTTCCAGTGCACCTCACATCCCTGGGGAGATTCCCACTCTAGAGAAGGACTTTGCTGATGGTACATTGCTCATATGAAATTAGGGCACAGTTTTGCTGATTTTAAAACAAAGAAATATGTTCCCAATTATGCCCTCTAAATGTTAGCTCCATTCTCCTGAAATCATCCATATGTGGAAATGTAAATTAAAAAAAAATCAAGACATGATTAATTACCTTGCAGAGTACGATAAAAGGGCAGTTATGCAGTTCAACTGTATACAATTAGAGGTAACAGGAAAATATTTCAAGTGAAGATCTAGAGTTATTTCTTACTGCCTCGGACAGGCAACTTTTGAGCTCCATGTAAACCTCCTCCCTTTCTGGCCAGACTGGATTTCTGACATCAAGAGAATTCTTAGGATGGTAAAAGATGTTGATTTGTTTGGGGTGACATAGAACTCTTGCCTTTGAATGACAAGAGAAATTGACCATTCCACACTTCTTTGCAAGGTATTTCCAAATAACTTCTATTATCATACACTCTCTTCTTAGTCCAGAACCCAAAAATACACAGTTTATGAGGTATCTAGAGGCTTTCTCAGATGAGACACCAGTTAATTCCACCAACCACATGGCCATTCATTGAGGCAGCGAAAATTCTAGAAATATGTGTCTAGGAAACAGCCACTGCTTTCACGGTGTCAACAAATGCTCTTTGTACAGCAAAACCAACACACTTAAAGGATGATTGTTGAGTGAGGCTCAAAGGCAAGAAATAGCAGCACAGGAGTTCTTTTACACAAGAGATTGAGTGACCAAGTAACTTCGTCACCGACAAGAGTCAAGCAGAGGAGAAACATTCATGACCACACAGTTGAATACTAAGGTTGAGACGCCTGCTCAGATCACATAAGGGCGTCCTTCAGACTACATTCTAGAAAACGTTCCTTAGACTTAGAGGCTTTTAATTTTAGCTGTACTGTAAGTAAATTAAGCTGTTTTAGAAGAAGCTTCTAAGACAGGAATTTCAGTTGTATGTCACTAGTCGAGAGGGTGGCCTCAGAACCAAGAGAGAGAAACAGTTCAGGACAAGGACACCATGAACAAGACTGTGTCTCGACTAAGTTTAGCCTCCGCCTGATTCAGTGTGGATGTAATCTGTATCACGGCGCTGCCTCCTCTTTAAGCAGAAGCAGGTAGCTCATACCCCACTAGTGTTGAGGGACTGTTGGATGACACAAGTGCTCTGCAGAAAAGCAGCCAGCTGTGGTTGGGTACAAGATGGATGTGGGTGCCCAGGTCTGCCCATGATACTAGCAACAGGATTTGCCATGTATTAGACATGGAAAACAAGAGAAGCTGCCAGAAAGAAGCACACTATCAATGGCAGAAGGGCACACATGAAACTGACCTGTTTGCTTGAGATCATGAAACACAGAGCCGGAGAGCTCTCACACAGCTGCTGGGGCGTAAAGGCACCACAGCCATTTTACTCATGGTGTTCCAAGTGCTGACCTGTAGCCGGCAAGAAAAAAGGGATGCTGTATTGAGTTTTTCACCGAAAAGTCTGGGACCCTGCACACTTTGATGGCATCATCTCTTCAGTTGGTAGAGTGTTCTTATTAGGGTCAGAAAATACCAACATGTGAAGTACTGGGTTAGTTATCTTCCTATAGCTTTTGGAGCATTGATGTGCCATAAGGTAGGTGAGCATGGACCAAGAAGTAAACATTAGTAGGTACTTTCTGAATAATAAAGTTATTTCTGAAGTCTGACCTTTTTGAGATTTAGGATAGTAACATACCTTATTCAACCCATGGTAATTCTGGCAGGAAAGAAGGACTCTGTGGTCTGTTTCTGTTGAACAGTGGATGATTGTTAAGGTGGAGGAGCCAACTGTGTAACACACTACCTCCAACTCATTGTGTCCTTCATAATTTCCGGCCTTGTTACCCCTGTCACTCTAGTTAGGCGTATGAGGTTTCATTCTTCAGTGGTTATCTTCAGCTTGCTTTATAGGTGGTCCTAATGAAGGCCATTTGGAGTCTACCAGGTATGAAAAGCTGTTTTAGATGTTGTCAGTAGTCTCTAAAAGAACATCCCTGTTTTATTTTCAGTACCATAATGCTACCTTTGACTGGGCCTATTTGTCGAAGAAAGAGTGTTTGAAGTATGGAGGAAAGCTTGTGGGAAACAACTGTGATTTTGTTCCTGATATCACACTCATGTCATTCATCCTCTTCCTGGGCACTTACACCTCTTCTATGGCTATGAAAAAATTCAAAACCAGTCGCTATTTTCCAACCACAGTAAGTACCTGGGATATAAATAATTTTCATTGGATTTGCCCTGTTTCACCACTAATGCAATGATACAAAATGAAAAGGGGACCCTGCAGTTCAACTTGTCCAATATTACTTTGTACATTTAAATAAAGCATCTGATCTTTGTTCATGTGAATACACATTTAACATAGTTGTAGTCCTGCTTCAAGAAACCTTCCAAAGATTTTGCTTTCACAATTGCAATCATAAGTTCTGTCTATAGTACTTGTTAGTGTACCCCATCTTGTGTGACTAAAGAAAAGGCCCCCTTACTTCTACAATACATAAGCAAAACCTTTTGATGTTAGTCAAGAACTTTGATGGTGTGGAATTTTGCAATCGTTGACTATATATGTGTTTTAATACTTGAATGGAGTCTACATGATGCACTAGGATTGGAGTAAGAGATGGGTGACATTGGAGCCAACTTTTTCTTCCCATAATACTGACTGTTGTAGTACCCAGAGTACATAGACTTCTGCTACCAAGCTAGTGTGCTTGAGTGAGCTTAAATTCAAAGCTACGGTTCTTTGAGAGACTAAAGCAAACATTTAGCTGTTAAATGTTTCTTTTAAAAGCTGGGCAATGAAACGGAGATACTCCTGTGCCTTCAGTTCATAGCATTTAAGAGGTCAGTGTCCCCAGGTAGTCTGCATTAAAGATTTATATCAGTGACATGTTCACCTCCTGGAACTGCTTCACTGTGTTTGATATAGGAGAACTTTAGCAGACAGAAGCCCCTTTCTAATCCCTAGAAAATAAAGTTTCATATATTCACTGTCACACAGGAAATTGCGAGCTTTCTGATTTCTTCTTATAAAATAGGGGATAAAAGAAAGAGTTGATAATGAGGAATTTAAAAGAAATGAACATTTTTCATAAAGAGAAACTGGGGAGCAGCTTACTTAATCTGATTAAAATAGAGCTCACAGAATGGAGTTTAACAAGCTCAGGGCCAGTCTTTGTTTAGTGTACAGTGTGATAACAGATGTAAACACACACACACACACACACACACATCACAGATACACATACAGAGCAGAAACCTAGGTACCCAACTATTTCTTCAGTGGATGAGTTTTATATAGAACAGATTTTTGGGTAAAACGTTTAAGAATCTGATTGGCCTGCTCTTTGATCACCTTCCCCTGAGGGGGGAGCAGCCTTACCAGGCCACAGAAGATGACAATGCAGCCACTCCTGATGTGATCTGATAGACTAAGATCAGAAGGAAGAAGAGGAGGACCTCCCCTATCAGTGGACTTGGGGAGGGACATGCTTGAAGAAGGGGGAGGGAGGGTGGGACCAGGAGGGGAGTTGAGAGGGGCTTATGGGGGGATACGAAGTGAATAAAGTGTAATTAATTTAAAAAAGTTTAAGAATAATTTCTTCTGGATTGTTTTATTTTTCTTTTGTAATTACCAGTTCATGGGATCTTGGGTTTTGTTTGTTTTTGTTGAATTTTGACTTACACTTTTCAGATCAATGCTTCTTGTCAAAGTCTAATTTGTTTTGAGGATAGTCAGTGGAACTGTGGAAAATTTGAAAAACTCTTAGATGTTGTACTTTGTAGAACAAACTTGTATCAACCCTCAGATGAAGACTATCTTTTCTATTTTTATTTTAATTGACAAATAATAATTATATACATTTGTGGATCACAATGTTATATTTTAATATGTGCTTGCATCATGGAATGTTACATTAAGCTAATTAACATTAATACTGTAATTTCATGTGGTTAAGTCATTTCTGCAACGAAAACAAAATCTACTCTTGACAATTTGAAATATACAACATATAAAACATATAGCCTATGTATGTGTGTGTATGTGCATGTATATATATCATGTAGTCAGCGTACTATACAACTGATCTTGGAAACTTACTCGTGCAGTGTAATGGAACTTTGCAAGCTCAGGCCAACATCTGTTCTCCTTGCCTCCTGCTATCTTGTCCTATGAACCTCACTTTTTAAGTTTCCATATATGAGTAAAATCATGCAGTGTTTGTCTTCTATATCTGGCTTATTTTACTTTTCAAAAATACCCTCCAGGTTCCTTTATTTTTTTTCAAATGATAGAATTTTCTTCCTTTAAAATTCCAAATAGTGTTCTAATTATGAGTAGAATTATATAATAATACTGAAAATAAAAATTACATATATATGTACACGCATATATATGCGTGTAATTCATAGTGACACTTTTGAATGTTACTATGTGTTGGCTTTTGGGAATGGTGCTGTGATATAGGAAGCACACACAGTCTGTGCTACAGTGATTTTATTTTCTTTCATTTTATGTTGAATAATGGGACTGTTTGATCATATGACAGTTCTCTTAATTATCTGGGGGAACCTCCTCTGTAACAACTAAGTTATGTTCCCAACAATGGAATGAAAAGGTTTCACTTTCTTGCAAATCTGGGCCAAACCTTGTTACACTTGTCTTCTTGATAATGGTGATCTTTAACATAGGTGAATTCACAACTCACTGCAGATTGAATTGGCATGTCTCTGACAGTATCACTGAGCACCTTGTCACATTTCTGTTAGCCTATAAGTCTTTTAAGATATGCCTAGTAAGCACGCTGTCCATTTTAAGTTTGCTTATGGGTTTACCCTTGAGTTCCTTCTATATTCCTGACATTACCCTCTTGTCAGGTGAGCTGCTGGCAAATGTTTACCCACTTTGTACTTACTGTGTTACTCTGCTAATTGCTTCTCTTGCAGAGCAGAAACATTTTAGTTTGACACAGTCTGATTTGTCAGCTTTGCCATTTTCCTGTGTTTTTTTGGAATCAATTCTTGTAACAAAATTAAGTATGATATTAGTTTCTTTCTACTTGAGAATAATCTTTGTCAAGCTCGGCATCACACCCTTGTTATGTCTTCTTCCAATATTTTTATGGCTTCAGACTGTTAAGTTAAGTAATCAATTTGGAGTTGATTTTTGGATGTCCAAGGTCTATTTTCATTCTTCTGCAGGTGACTATCCTATTTTTCTAACACTGATCATCGAGGAGTCTTATTTTCTCTTCATTGTATAGAGTTGGTACCTTGTTGAAAATCACTGCTGATTTCAGGGGTCAGACCCTGCTCCGCTAGTTTATCTGCTGTTCTATTACATTTTAATGCATTTAGAAGAAATCCTTTATTTTGTAGCTTTTTAGAAAGCAGGTATTGTGTATTTTTTGCTCAAGACTGCTTTGGCTATGTGGGATGTTACGTACTTCTATACAGATTGTAGAATTACTTTTTTCAATTTCTTTGAAAAAATGTCATTGGAATTTTTTTTGTATTTTGTATTTTTATTTTTATTAATTACAGTTTATTCACTTTGTATCCCCCTGTAGCTCCTTCCCTCCTCCCCTCCCAATTTCACCCTCCCTCCCCCTTCTCCATGCATGCCCCTCCCCAAGTCCACTGATAGGAGAGGTCTTCCTCTCCTTCCTTCTGATCCTAGTCTTTCAGGTCTCATCAGCAGTGGCTGCACTGCATTAGATTTATTGAAGTACCATAGACATTTTAACATCATTTATTCTTCTAGTCCATGAACATGGGATATCTTTTCATTTATTTGTCTTTCATTAATTTTTATACTTTATACATTTAAATATATATAATTTATCTTGATTGAATTTATTGCTCAGTTTTTTTTATTTTGCAGCTAGTATAAATAGAATTGTTTTCCCTTTATTATTTTACTTTTTGAGAACTTGATACATGGAAACATTGTATTTAAATAATTTTCACACCTTTCTCTTCGTTTACAACTCCTCCTGTGACCCACCCCAACAATCCCTGTTTGACTCCATGACCTCTTATATAATTATTGTTGTGTCTCGCATACATACATACCCTCACACACCACACAGAGTCCAAATAGTGCTGCTCATATGCACATGTGTTTATGATTGTCCATATATGACTGTGAAACCTATCGGGGAACTCGCCCTTAAATAAAACTGATGCCCCCACCCTCAAACAGCCATTGTCTCCCTGTAGACCTTCATCTAAGGGTGGGTGAACTTGATTTCATTTTTGGAGAGTCTGTGATAGTGTATAGAAACACTATTGGTTTTGTATATTGATTTCATATCCTTAAATTTACTGGCTTTAAGCAGTCCTGTTTTTTGTTTTTGTTTTTTGTTTTTGTTTGTTTGTTTGTTTTGGTTTGGTTTCTAAAGTTTTCTTTCAGTAAGGGAAGTATCTTATCTTCCTTTCCTACTTGGCTGAAGTTTCGTTCTGCTATGGACTGGGACTTACAATAGCCTGTAGTCTGGAGACCCAGAGGCTGGGCTGAGGCTGAGTAGACCTGGAGATCAGGACATCAGAGGGGCTGAGTCCATCATTCCTGACCAGGTACTGGGGGCCTTTGTACTCTAAGGCTCTGAGGCTACTCTGGTGTGGAGTCCAAAAGAGACTGAATTGCAGGGATGTTACAGAACCTTGGGCTGCTGGGCCAGTGTAGCTCTCTGCAGTGCTCTGTACCCAAATAGAAGTGGAAGTGATGGGATCCCATCTGGTCCTCACACTAATTTTCCTGAGTCATGTCCAGCATTTATGTATGGGAGCTTATTCCCTATCTTGTTTCCAAGCAGAGTGTTTCTGCCTCCAAGATGCCTTGCCTGAGGTTAGAGAGAGGATGATGAGCATATGACTTTCTCTCTTACCCTCTTCATTGTGTCTTAACTTTCCTGTAGGCTAGAGAGATGCGTTGTGTAATCACTCATAGGGCTTTCTTAGGCCCAATGAAGTTATTTCTAGGGTAGATAGTTGTTCAATCTGATGCTTCTGTGAGATAAAGAGCATCAGAAAGTCCTGTCCCACCATTTTAATAACTTACCTCAAGCCCAGTAGCAACAATCTTAATTGTACATGTAAACATCACTTTTTCCCCAAGATTGGGTTTCTCTGTGTAGCCTTAGCTGTCCTGGACTTGCTTTTAGACCAGGCTGGCCTCGAACTCACAGAAATTTGC